TCAGCAGGTAAAGAAGATACCTGCACTGTGCTTATGTTATGGCCCCTACCTTATCAGTTTCTATTAGGGAATGATGACTTCTAATTTTTCTGCTGTAGCAATAGCCTTGCAGTGAAATCCTTCCCGCAGGAGGAGGAACCTCGAACTGACCAACAGTTAGCAAAGAGCTCAGAAGTAATGACCTTCAAGTTCTCCCAGGAGCTTTAACAGTCATTCCCAGCTTGGTGGGATTTTTCAGCAGGGCTCATCCAGCTCTACTTCATCTGATGCATGTAGTAACTACAGGTCAAGGGTTGGAAGATGCTGTTTAATTGCTGCCCCATCTCTTAAGACAGTGATGTTGTAGAATCCACTGTGCTGGTGGAATGAAATTTCATCAACCTCATTGAATAACTTGTTAATAGTATATCTTGGCAAAATGTTTTGCAATTTCATTTTAATGGGACACCAGTCAGCAGGTCCTGAGAGTCTGAATGGTTGGATTCTGTTCGGAGTTCTGCCACTAACTCCCTTATACTCGGAGAGTGCCTCGCGTCTGTTTCTTCAACTGCAAAATCTCTGTTTCAATCCCACTATGATGGGGATGGATCTTTGAAAAGATCACCGTTACCTTTAAATACCATAACAAAAAGATAAATTGTTACTGTTCTTTTTTAGCTCCAAGTGCTCCAATAAACTGGCGACGAGGAAAACTGCTGGGCCAGGGTGCTTTTGGTCGTGTGTATTTGTGCTATGATGTGGACACGGGCAGAGAGCTTGCAGCTAAGCAGGTCCAGTTTGACCCAGAGAGTCCTGAAACAAGCAAGGTAATCCTCATCGCAGTATTTAAAATTCATTATGCAGACTTTGAGATCCTTTAAAATGCCTGTATCTGTCTGTCCTCGAAAGCTACTATCTATCTTCGTTTGTACTACGGTTTTAAGTCATGTGGAGAGGAATAAGAGTCATTTAAAAATTACTTCTCCGTATTATTAACTTCAGCCTGAAACTAAAATCCATTTTCTGGCTTCGTTTTTGGCTCTCCCTTCTCAGCTTTTTGGTTTGTTGCCAGGTTACTTGAGGAATACTAGACTGTCCTGTGTTCCTGGTTAGACATGGATGTGAATGAAACTAAACCCAGAAAGAGCAGAACTTTTTTCATTAAAAAAAAAAAAAAAAAGCTGCGTGCACTTGCAAAACCCTCTTTCTAGGGTTATATGATCGGTCCTGTATCAAGTGTATTAATTACCTCTTTCTGCTTCTGAATTCTCCCTGTCTTCAAGACAAACTGAACTGTGGTGTGTAAATTAATCAAGAACAGTGATGTGACAATGCATTAAAAATAATGGAGATGGGAAGGGGCACCTTGAAATTACAGGTTAGCACACAAGTCCCTGCACAGTGGATGCAGCTGGAATGGCTGTTAAGTTCTTTGCTAGTGTTTTAATGATGCACCAGTTTCCCAATATTGAACAAATTCACTTTGAGCCGGAATAACTGATCTGTGAAGATTTAATTATTCTGATTTTATATGGGATGTTGGTGCCAAGATAAAGCCTAACTTGGTAAGTTCTAAGTTATACCACGTCTCTGTTGTAAATCAGGCAGTAACTCTGAGCCAAGGAAGAGTCTGGAATGTATTTTGAAGGCACTGCAACTCCAAACCTTAAACTATCAGTTGGCCTGATTAAGCAACTGCCTCTGGTTCCCTGCATCCCTGCAGCAGCCAGGTCTTTGCTCTTGGAGAGCTGCATCCTCTCCCAAAGCAAGAGAAGTGAACCTGGCACCTTCCAGTGGCAGGAGCGGAGAAAGTTAAGTGGAACTAATTTGGGGGAAATCATCATTCCTTTTTCCATAAATCCTCGTGCTCTAGTATCTTTGATGTTCAGCCTATTCATTCCCTGGATTCAGCAAGAACCTGATACTTTTCTGGGGCAACAAACACCGCTGATTCGGTCTGAAATTGTTGGATAGCCTTTTTGCCTTTGCACTATGATAGCTTGTTGTCTGTGGCAGGAATAAAGCGGAGACTCAGTTTCCTGTGCATAACTGCAGATTCTTTGAAGTAAATAAGAGAGGAAGCTATTTCTAAGGTTGATTCAAGTAAAATTATCAGAGTGAATCAGAACAGGACTGGGTGACAAGTGAGGAACTGTAGTCTTGCTCTATAATGGGTTGAGGTTCCTACAGAAGGATTCCTAGCAATTCTGTAACTGTGTATTCAGAGCTTTTTCATAGTTGAAATTAACACCCTCAGCTTAGTGGTGAGACGTAAAGTTATATCTGTGTAGTGTGTGAAGAATGCTTTCAACGTAATTGGCTAAAGCTATTCAGCTGACGGAATCAAGACAAGAAACAAAGTTTTTCTGGTACTAAATCCATATATGATACTGCTTGTGTTCTATCAAAGCTTCTACGTCAATACTTACGTGCTTATTACACAGTAAGGATTAACATGAACCATTGGTAATATTTTTCTTTCCCAAGAGGTAGGTGAGCTAATGCCATGGATTAAGACTTCTTCAGTGTAGTAGTGGCCTCATCCTTCCAGTGACATGGACAGATTTATTGGGATGGAATATTTCCTGGGGCCAGAACCTAATTTTCTCCTTCAACACCCATAGGAGGTGAGTGCCCTGGAGTGTGAAATTCAGCTGCTGAAGAATCTCCAGCACGAACGTATTGTTCAGTATTACGGCTGCTTACGGGATCGAGCAGAGAAGACCTTGACCATCTTCATGGAGTATATGCCAGGGGTAAGAGCTGACATGAGCAGCACAGTTACAGATCATAAAGTGAGATGAGTGGTTTTGTTAGTTGCTTTATTAGTTGTTGTGATCATCGTAACTATGTAATCCACCTTATGCCCTTTTAGGTATGCTCCTTTCTCATACTGGCTTTACAGTGCCACCACTTTCTTTTTATTTACGCCCAAACCACATCTTCGGGTTTTTTCTTATTGTCTTGTACTTTAAATACATTCTTTTCATTAGTCACTAACACCGGTTCTTTTCTTCAATCTAAATTTATTCTAACAAAGCACTTTCAGAGGACTTGGGCCAACTTGTAAGTCGGGCTAACTGAATTAGCAGAGTCATAGAGTACAGCAAATTAGGCTAAAACTGACCCTGCAAGACTTTTGACCCGGATGAGTCTGCTGAACTATTTTATTGCTTGTCTTCACAAGGAGTTTTACCAGCATAGCTGAAGGATGGAGGAAGCAGACAGAACTCCCCCTGCTTAAGCTATTTTTGTCATAAAGCATGTCCTTGCTTTTCTTAAAAGGAGCTTCGTAGGGCAGGAGGCTCAGAGAGCCTCACAAAAAGGCTTTAGAAGAGGCCAGAATTCATTCCTGTGCCGGTTGGGTGTATAACACGGTCACAGCTCATGGGAAATGAATGGAGACTGCAAGAGTTGTGGTTTGTCATTTCTTTGCCAATCCTTTCTGTTTGCTTTTGGTACAGGGGTCAGTGAAAGACCAGCTGAAGGCGTATGGTGCTCTCACGGAAAATGTAACCCGGAAATACACTCGCCAGATTCTTGAGGGAGTCTCGTACCTTCACAGCAACATGATTGTGCACAGGGACATAAAGGGTGAGATCGGCTGGTGATTTATGTATAGACCACATGCTAAAGGAACTCTGAAAAAAAGAAACCAAGTGTTAAGAATTCAGTGTCCTGGCTGGGGCTTCTGAACATTGCTTTGCTCAGTTATGCCTTTTTGGTCTTACATCCCTGTGCAGGCCTTAGGGAAGGTTGCGTTCTGGGCTGGGTAAGGGAAGTTGGGCTGTTCTCTCTAGAGGACCTGAGAGCATGGCAGTTGGTTATAGTAAGGACGACTGGAAGCCTGTAATTCTTAGGAACACTCCTGTAACTCTTCATCTTTCTCTCACATCCCAGCAAAATGAGGCTGAGTTGCCCCCTGTCTTTCACTCCCGCCATAAGGCATGCTCATTTCCCTTCTAATTTCCTCTCTGCTTGGCCAAAGTACCATTTCTCAGCTGGTAGGCTTACCAATTGCCATAAGAGCACCATGCCTGCTCTTGACAGTCCTGCTTACCTCAGGTTCTTCTGACTGTCCTGCCTCTTCTGTGTAAGAAACCTCTAATCTTCCATGTAGAGCCTCTGGGATTAGTCCTTAATCTTTCTCTTCCCCATATAACCCCATGGAGCCAGCCAGTCTTAAGAGTTAATGTCAACAGATGTGGCAGACACCACGCAAATTTTTCTGTGCTCTAGAGGGACCAGGAGGGTTGCTTGCTGCTGGAAAAATATTCTCCTGCTCCTGCCTGTAACTCTTCACTCCATCCCCTGTAGGCTGGCAAAGAGAAATGAACTGCTGATTCTTGAATAACACCTTGTATACTGCTCATGTGGTGCTCTTTACCAAATGATTTCCTACCTGGTGGGTTATTCACTAGGTTGCACCCATCTAAGCCAAACTGTTAACTTGCCTCCAGGGTGCTGGATGGACAGACTTGTTGTTCTGAATCCGGTTCTTCCAGTGGGGAAATGAAGTGATAAAGCTATCTCCCAGCACAAATGCATTTTATTTGTGGGCAGAAGGAGTTCATATAGGCACATACCAGATAATGGCAACACAGGGTTCTTGATCTTATTGCAGCTTTGGAGGAAGACTTTTTTTTGGTGTCTAAGCCTTAGTTTGTGCCCACATACAAGCTAAGCTCTTAAGTTTGCTTTTTCCCCCTGTTGCTTCGTGTTCAGGACCTCTGACCAAGTAAAGTGGAGATTGACTTGTTTATTGTAGGAGTTCAGAGTGGTTTAATTAGCTACATCTGTTACCCAGCTGACCAGAAAGCAATGGTTGTACTCACCAAAGCAGCATCCCAATAAAATTCTTTTTTACGCAGCTATGTACTATCTAAGCCATTGGCCTGGGGGCCCTGCATAGGCTGAGCTGTTTACAGGCAATGTAACAATGACGGTGCTGACTCAGCTCTCATTTCCCTTCCCCCTTCACTTCCTTGTGTTTTTCCCCTGAAGTTTTTCCCATTTGCAGCCATTAGCAATTGGCTTGTCTACAGCCTGAAATAAAGAAATGATGTTTAGCAGGTCACCTGAGGCTTACTGGGGAAAAAGCCATACCATGAGCATGGGTATTTCTGGGTTGGATCCGCAGCCTACAGTGCTGATATCCAACAGCTGGATTGCATGAAAACAGCTGTCTCAATTCTTTTCTCTCTCTCTCTCTCTCTCTTTTTTTTTTTTTTTTTTTTTTTGTCCAGGAGCCAATATTCTCCGTGACTCTGCTGGGAATGTGAAGCTTGGGGACTTTGGGGCCAGCAAACGGCTGCAGACAATCTGTATGTCTGGAACAGGCATCCGCTCTGTCACTGGCACGCCATATTGGATGAGCCCGGAGGTGATCAGCGGAGAAGGCTATGGAAGAAAAGCAGACGTATGGTGAGGCTTTAACTTTCTGTCCATAGATCAATTTACAGCTTTTCTGGAGCGAGATAAGACATATACATTCTGTTGTCCATTTGGATATCAAAATTCAGATTTTGTCTGGATCGAAAGTGAGAGTGGTTTAAGGAGAACTGAGAGTGGTTTAAGGAGAACTGAAGTTTGACATGACCTGCTGCAGGCTGTGCTTTGCAATGTCAACACACAACTGCTCATTTAGCTTTTCAGAAAAATTTTCCACTTTTTTTTCGACCTGATAGGTGATTTTCTGTTTTCTGCCTTTTTCTGATGTGAGGTTTCCATCCTTCTTATATCCCATATAAGGGAAAATGGGGTTGTTCAGGGAGCATCCATTCATTTTGTTATAAAATGAGAGGTATGCTTATAACACTGTGGAAATGAAAGGAATAGAATTTGAGTATGTTGACAAAGCTTTAAAGGAAAGATACCCAAACCTGGAATAACACAAAAGATACAGGTCAGATCAGAGGTGATCTGAAGCATGCATGAATGGAAAGTGTAGCCATGCTATTATTGGCATAGCCAAGAAATAGCCTGTATTGAAAGGAAAAAGCAAAATGGTCCTGTGTTAAAATGTTACTTTTGGAGGCCTTAAAAAGGTGAGATTATAAAACTAAACTAGACAACAGCGACAAAAGGTGTGTTTGTGTCTCTACGGTAAAGCAAGGCCTATGCTGTTTCCTGTACAAGCAATGAGTGGAAACACAGCTGAAATTCATCTCGTATGCAAAGAGTTAAGTTCTGTAGACTCTTCCCGTTGGGATGCTTGGGGAGAGAACGGAGCACGTGCCCTTCCCCCTGGGTTGATGCAGTTGTGGATTTCCTCTTGGTGCTGACATCGGTCCATTCCCATCAAAGAGACGCTGCCGTTGGCTGGGCTCCAGTTCCTACAATCCCGATCGTTATTTAGGGGGGTCAGAATTTTCCAGTGCAGCGTTAGTCCCAGGGTGGATGCGTATGGCCGAGAGGCTCAAAGACGTAACAAATCTAGCCACCTGGCTTTCCGCCACTGCTGCAGGCCCCCCTCCAATTTTCTTTTTCCTAAATAGCAGAATATGTGAGCTATTTGTTATTGCTGGAGTGA